GGGCAAAGCTGCTCACTTATGGTGGCCAGGAAGCAAAGGGAAGGAGAAAGGAAGGGCTGGGATCCCAGTATCACCCCCAGTGAGTGACCTAACTTTCTCCCATGAGACCCCACCGCCTAAAAGCTCCACTACCTACCTATGGCCCCATAGGCGAGTGACCAAGTCAACAAGGACTTTGGGGGACATTTAAGATCCAAATCATAACTCTCCATGGACTGCAGTGACCCCTACTCCCAGCCACCAGCCCCGCCACCGCTCATATCCTATTTGTTCCTCTGCACCACTTCCCAGCCCCTATGAAGCCTGCCCAGGGACTTCCCATACATTCTCTGTCCCTCTGAACCACACAGCTCTCCCTGTATCCCCTCCAGATGACTGTTATTCAACAGAAGCATTTCAATAGCAGGTACAGGGAAGAGCAGAGAGAGAGGGTAAGGTTGGAGCCTGCTGTGTGGGAGGTAGAGCCCTAGAAAAATAGAATAAGAAGAAAAAAGACATGCCTAGGCTACATCATAATGAGCATCATAGACATGAAGAAGAAAAAGAATGAAAGGCACACAACACTTCATGGTGTAGAAGCAATGGCATGTGGTGACCAAGAAACAAGAAGGAGAAGGAAGGGAACAGGGCTGAGCAGAGGGAGAAGAAGCAGAACCTGGTTCTGGGGACCCCAGATGAGGCCCTTGGAGTGGCTGCTCACCTGTGCGCTCAACACCAGCATTCCGTGGGAGTCTGGTCAGTCAGATCCCCACGGTTCCCTTCCGGTTCCTATGGACACATGGCTCTCCAGAGCACAAATGCTGCAGATGCTGAGGAGACCCCCAGAGTACCACCGGGTGGTGGGCGAGGTAATTATGGCTTAAATTACCAGCTGCCTCATTGAAATTGGTGGCCTGTCTGTAGGCAAGGGACACTTCACTCGCTTCCCTCCCCACCATCCCCAGCACAAACGCACACTTTCCTTCACCCCGTGGTGGCTGTCCCCACGTGGGTGGGAGGGAGAGGGGCTCCCGGGGAGAACTTAGGGGTGCAGAGTAATAGACATGGAGATCAGGGGAACCAAATAGAGCTTCTTTAATGGGCCCAATTTTATCTAAATGAATCTCAACACAGTTGTGTCACTTAATGATGAGGACAAGTTTTGGGAAATGTGTTGTCAGACCATTTCTTTATTTTGTGGACATCACACTAGTGAAGACTACACAGCACTAGGCTCCATATCCTGTAGGATCACAGTCGTGTATGTGTTCATCCCTGACTGAAAGCATTACAGGTCCATGACTGTTCTGCCAGGATGGCGTTTGAGGAAAAAAAAAAAAAAAGAATAATTTTAAACTTGCTTGTCATGGATTGTGTGGGAATAATGAAATATGATGTATAGGAGAGACAAAGTAGGAGCTAAAAAGATGAATAGGGAGAAAAGGGGGGCAAAGAGTAAGAATACCATGGATGAAGAAAAGGACAAATGCCAAGGGAGGGTGGGAGTCAGGACGGAGGAGTTGAGTCAAAGAGATCCATGGACAGCTGCGTGGTGTAGATGCAGTCATGTGTGAAGACAGGGTTATGGAGAGAAAGGAGAAGACAGCAAGGGCCAGGGAGCCCAGCGAGGTTCTGAAGAAGGTGGAGCCAAGCTAGGACGATGCAACACACTGTATTCCCATGCAGCAGCCCTGCACCCAAGCATCAGAGCCTAACACAACCAGGTCCAGTAGGTGTCTCGGTCACTGTCAACCACATGTCATGTTCTTGTTTCTCTCCTCAGTGCCCTGGGAAATCACTGTACAAATAGATGAAGGAAGAGAATCAGAAGAAAGGCCCAGGTTATTACCTTACAATGGAGATGGTAATACAGATTAAAATTACTTATTATTATTTTTCCCCCTCACTGGGCATTGAACCTAAGACTTTTGTGCTCAGCTACATCCCCAGTTCTTTCTTTTTTTAAAAAAGGTTATTTTATTGGTGTATTTTAGGTATACAATATAATGACATTCACCATTGGAAATTTGCACCTCTATGTAATCTCTCTTGGTTCTTATTTTTCCCCCTTCCCCTGCCCTCTCTTCAACCCCTCCATCCTTCCCTATTTACAAGGACTTTGTTTCCATTTTTTCCTTTTCTCATATTAATTCCGTTCATTCCTTCTTTCCTTTCCCCTACCCCTCCCACTTCCCCTTCCCCTTTGCTTCCTATTTCACATTATCTATTATACCTTGCAGTCCTTATTTACACTTTTGTTTTCTCACACTAGAGAAACTATTTGGTATTTACACATGTGTGTCCTATTTATTTCACTTAAGAGCATTTGCCCCAATGTGCATCCATTTAGCTATAAATATATCTAATTTATCATTTATGGCTGAGTAGTACTCCATTTTATTTTATTTTATTTTTATTTTTTTTTGTACCAGGGATCGAACTCAGGTCCTTGCACTTGCGCAGCATCAGGTGGCAAAACCACTGAGCTAAATCCCCGGCCCTAGTACTCCATTTTATTAAAAAACACACATTTTCTTTATCCAGTCTCCAGTTGATGGGCATTTGGGCTGTTTCCATGTTTTAGCTATTACAAATTGTGCTGCTATGGACATGGATGCACATATATCGCTGTGGTATGATTCTTTTAATTCTTTGGGGAAGATCCCCAGCAGTGGAATAGCGGGGTCAAATGGGACTTCCAGTCCTAGTTCTTTGAGGTATCTCCATACTGATTTCCACAGTGCTTGCACCAGTCTGCACTCCCACCAGCAGTGCAGAAGCGTTCCTCTTTCCCCACAGCCCCACCAGCATTTGTTATTGGTTGGTTTCATGATAGCAGCCATTCTTTCTGGGATGAGGTGGAATCTCAGCATTGTTTTTATTTGCATCTCTCAAAGGACCAGTGACCCAGTTCTTTCTTTACATTTTATTTTGATGCAGGGTCTCCCTAAGTCACTAAGTTGCCCGGGCTTGGCGCAAACTCAGTCTTTCTGCCTCAGCCTTTAAGAGTGCAGGGATTTCTGGCTATCTATGTCTACCTGTCTATTTTTTGGTCAACACAGACAAACATCTATTATGTCACCCCCTTTCTTGTCCATCCATTCATCCATCCACTAATCTATTCATCTATTCAACAGTTCATCCATCCATCCATCCATCCATCCATCACCATCCACCATTCCTGTTGCAGACAGACTTCCCAGGTTTTTCTCAAGAGAAACAAGTAGCAAGGAAGCCTAAGTTCTGACTGATTGGGGTTTTCTTGTGTATAAAACATAAACAAAGCAAGGAAGAATGGGAAACATAGACGAGTCTTTAAATAGGGATCTGTGTCATTGTCAAATTTACCTAAACAGACATGGAATCCAAACACCACCACATTAGGGTATGCTACCAGCGAGAGGAGATAATTTTCCACCTATTTCTCCCGTGACTGTACCAGGAACATGGATATAATGAGTATAACCACAATATAGAAAAGAACTTTCATGATATGGGAGATGAGATAATACAGAGAGGGACTGAAATTTACATTTTTAGATTAAAATTTTAGTTTGAAAAATTAGAAAGTTAACTAAAGAGAACAGATAGCACAATAGAAAAAAAGGAGACAAGTTCAATTATTAAAGGGAGAGTTTAAAACATGGAGAAATTTATATTTAGGGAGAAACACAGAGAGAAAATGCTATGAGTTAGAGGCATTGGGGGAGAGGCACCAAAGTGCAAAATAAGAGCAAATGAGAGGAGAATAAAGGAAGGTAAATGAAAATTCAACAGAGCAGAAACTGTCTGCCTGGGAGAGAGAAGAGACATTGAGGGAATTAAAGAAGGAGTCACTGGACAGAATCCACTTCTGGCATGGGGTGAACATGTTAGCACTGAGTTTTCAGATCACAGAGTCCCCAGTTATCCAAGTGATGCCTATAATATACTCAGAGAGATCAGCCTCTGCCCAGCCATTCTTATCCACTCCCATCTATAACTCCATCCCAAAACACACATTTCTGTGTGTTCTGCATGTGTGAAATCAGCTTTTCATCATTGTGACCAAATACTTGAGAAAAACAACTTAAAGGAGAAAAAGTTTATTTTGGCTCACAGTTTCAGAGGTTTCAGTCCATGGTTGCTGGTTCTATCACCTCCAGGCCTGTGATGAGGCAGAGCCATCACGGCAGAAGGGTGAGGTGGAGGAAAACTGCTCATCTCTGGGCAGCCAGGAAGCAGAGAAGGCTAGGGAGCAAGAGAGAGGTAGGGGCCAGAGACCAGATACAGTCATGGAGCCAGAACAGAAAGAGGAAGGCCACAGAGTTCACCAGGTTCGGGAGGAGTGGACCAGGGCCCTGTATAAGGGTTTAGTACTAAACTAGTTAGATAAGAGCGAGATGCTCTGGTGTGCTGTTGCACAGAACAGTGATTGAACATTCCAAGGAGCTACAGTAGAAGAAAGGATTTTGAGTTTTTAACATAAAGAATGACAGGTGTTTAAGAAGATAAATATGTTTAACCTGACTTAAACACGCAATATGTATATATAGTGAACATTACACGGTATCCCATTAATATGTACAATTTTGTGTGTCAGTTAAAAAATAAATTTAAAAAGACTGAGAACAAAATAAAATCATGGTGGGGGAGAGGGAAATCACAGAGACAGAGAACATGGAAATGGATCCTGCCCACTGGGATAGGAGAGATATAAAATAAGAATTAAACAGATAATAGGAATGGGCTTCAGTGATATGGAAAGAGGTAAAGGTGTAGAAACAAGGATCAAGGGAAGCCAGTAGGAGGGACACCAGGACAATTGAAGAGAAGCTCAGTGAGGCAGCAGATGTGTGGAAGCAGAGTGGCAGGGAGAATGGGGAGAAGTAGAGAAGGAGGAGAGGTGGCAAGACAGAGAAAAGGCACAGCAAGACTGTGGCTCTAGTTGGAACAGGCCCAAGGATTTCCCACCATGGTCTCTGTTTCCAGGTCATGGTTCACCATTTCTTTGTTCTCTGCAGAGACTTCTGCTCCACAAACTCCCCAGATGACTAACAGAGAAGCAGAAAAGGTGCTCAGCCTCCCACCAGGTGAGGGAGTGGGCAATGACAAGTCCAATTCCCAATGGGTTTTTTTCCCTGTACCAGGGATGGAACTCAGAGCCCTGCACTTGCCAGGCAGGCGTGGCACCACTGAGCTACATCCCTGGCCCCAATGGCCTTTTGGTACGGAAAACAATCTCCCTCTTCTCCCATTCTGCCCTTCTCTTCTTCATATTCGCATATATACAAATTGAATCGTGTTCATTTTCGGCTGTGTTTTTCAAAACTGTGAGAGAAACACAGGACAAAGGGGAGGCGAATGCCTGAGTGGGAGGATCCTGTGTAGATAACATGGAGAGGGAGAACTTTGCCAAAGTCAGGCGGTGGGTGCCAGATAAGAAGTGCCGGGTGACTCTGTTAAACACACACGCACACACACAAGTAGAGCAGGCTGTGGCAGATGTGGGGAGATCATTTCCGCTGCTTGTAGAAGTGCTAAGTAAACGGACCTAAATTTTTCAGGTGACTGAAATCTTGCAGGTTAGGGAAGTCACGTGTGAGACTTTTAGGCGAGAGCTGACCCAAGAAGTGTCTCTGAGGCTGTGATTCCTGTGAAAATGGAAGCACTTTTGCCAACCTGGGGATCGAGATCTTCAGGATTGAGGAAAATGTAGAAAATAATGGGATTATATGGGTATCCAGGGGGTTAAGGTAAAACCCAGGGAAACAGAAACAGAAAAGCAGAGATGGAGAGACAAAGTAGGAAGGGGGCTGACTTCAATGAGAAATAATGTGTAGAGGAAAAATTAGAGAAAGGTATGCAGACAGGCAAATACATACTACTGTTAATAATAATATGGGAAGAAGCACAGAGGAAGCTATGTAGAGAAAGAGGTCAATCAAATACAGAATTGATGAAGAGTGAAAATTGTATCCAAGGAAAGAAGCCACACTTCAGTAAGAGTCACCAGACAGAGCAATGTCCAGAAAAGGAGGCATCTCTGTAGGGAGTTTCTGATTGAGGTCTCCTCAAGCAGAGGGACACTGAGTCACAGAGCTCTAGTCCTCCCCCTGGATCTCACCTGCCCTCAGATAATGGGATGTTTCTCAAGTGCACACCTTGCAAACACTTCCTTCTATGTGCCTGAGGGTGCATATTCTAGAACCTTCTCCATTGCAACATCTTTCAGAAACTGAGTGCTCCCCAGTGGAAGCCAACATCTTCCTGACACTAGAAACTCCTGCCTCTCCAGGCTTCCCTCTCTCAGGAAAGGATAAAAGCCTTGAATTCTCTTGCACCCATCTTCTCATTGTCTTCACTTTTGCACAATTGCTCTTTGCAAGGTGTAAGTCAGACCATATTACCTTCCCTGCATGCCTGGGGATCTTTGCTGTCCTACCATCCAGTCACTTCTCCTTGCTGGAGATCTCTGTGGCTTCCATACACCACAGGGCCGCACCCTACGTCCTCTGCCTCATCTGCACCACCACCTGCAATGGCTCCCGAGTTTGCAGCACTTGGATCTTTCTTTTCTGAGTGAGCTGTTAAACATGCCATTCCCTGCATTGGCTAGTGCTGCTCCCTCTGCTCCTTGTGCCCTCTCTGGTCTGGTTCTGCTCTCTCATCCTGGGGAGAGCTTTCCCAGTGCCCAGCAAGAGAAAGGGCAGAGTGTGGTGGGGAGAAGGAAACAAATGAGATGGGGAAAGACAGTAAACAGCAGGAGCAAGAGAAAAAGACAGGAACCACGAAGGGGACAGAAACACATCCAAAGAGACGCGGATGGAGATAATGGCTGCCAGGAACCAGGGCAGACACAAGGCAGTGTGCAGAGGAAGGGGGAGTGGAAGGAGGAGAGAAATTAGACATGTGGGAGAAAATGAGCCGGAGGGGTTGCTCTGCCTTGGTGATGGCAACTGAAGTGTGTCTGCCCACAGGTTAGGCGAACACAAAGGGCAGGCACAGTCCCACCAGGAGACACTGGGCTACACACGCCTTCATGGCAAGGTGATTTCCCTTTGGTGGTGGTGCATGGTGACCTGAGCTGTGGACAGAGGGGTTTCATGTCTTTCCTGCAGAGGACAGCAATAATGGTGTGGAGATGTCTGAGTCAGAGGAGCCCCAAGAAACCTCAAGCTCACTTGCAAGATGTGAGCCAGGTAAAGAAGCAGTCTTCCTTTCCTATTTTTTATTTGTATATGTTTGTGGTCCAGAAAAATTATATTCATCTTGGGGGATTGGAATATATACATATCCTATTTTGAATATTTTTGCTCCTCATCCTTCCTGCCTTCCCCTCTCCCACCTTCCTCAATTCCCTTCTCATCTCCACAGTCTTCTTCCATGTTTCCTACCATTGCTCTTTTATTTTGTTCTTTAAATTATTCATATTCCAACTGCCCCAGAGTGCAGAGGAGGTGAGCCACGTTGGCGCCAGCACCCCCCACCCCCCATCCCACTGTGCCATTACCTACATCCACACCGCAGAGTTGAAGGGGTCATAAAGGACATTGTTCTGAGCATGAGAAGATAGAATGGGAGTGAACAACAGAAAGAGGGCCTCTATGAGGCCCCTTGATGAAAATTAAAGCCCACATGAAAAGTGAAGAAAATCTCTGCAATAAAGGCACACCAGACCACCTTAGTTGGGGAGCAGTGGTGTGGACCAGAGCAGCTCAGCTGCAAGCAGATCCCAGCCAGGGCCCCGCCCTGACCCCAGAGGCTGGGGCACACTGGCCCAAGCCAAGGGCCCACCTAAAAAGAGCTGCACAGGCACACAAGCAACAGCCAGAGGTTCACCCCAATACCATCAGTAAGTGCCCGAGACCCTAGCCAGAAGCTTGCTCACACAACAGGAACTGGGGTGCACAGCCCCTGCCCAAAGACCCTCCCAAACAACAGCTACCTATGGGCCCTAGCCAGTGGCACACCTAGATCCCATCCCAAGTGTGCACAGGCCCCAGCCAGAAGCCCACCCAGACAACAGATCAGCTCAGGAATCCAGAAGGCCACCTTTCTGAACCCAGGAATTAGTGTACTGGTGAGCAGCAGAGAAAAGGCAGCTGTGTGGTTTGTTGAGAATTGAAGACCACTGAGTGAGCAAAAAGTTGCCTCAGCAAAGGCACAGCAGGCTGCATCTGTTGAAATGAGAAGACATGTAAACAAGTCTCAAAACCAGCCTTCCAGATCAACTAAGGCAACCCCAAAGGGCAACAAGATGGAACAATCTGATACTCAACCACCTAGAACTGGCAACAAAAGAGGATCTGCAAAAAATAAACTCAGAAATAATTTCTCAGATAACAGCAGAGATTGTGCCCATAGTGCAAGACATGATTAATAAATCTAGAGAGGACACAGATAAAAAAAT